ATTGTATTCCTTAGCTCAGTTCTTCTTGGAGAGAGGTAAGGGAGGGAGGGAGGGAGGGAGGAAGGGAGGGAGGGAAAGGAGGGATTACCCCACAGCTTCTTCTTATTGGAAGCCTTATGCCGGGTTCGTAGTTGGTTAGTTTGTCTTTTCTTTTTCTTCTTCTCCGGCTTTCGAGAGGATGGTATCATAAGGATGGCATGGAGCGCGCCCCGCGTTTGGGGGGGGGTTCCGCCCTGAGGTTTTGGGGTCGGGGGGTTGGACGTATGTTGTGCGTTACGGAGTAGCATAAGTAAGTTTACTGGTGTGCGGGTGTTCTTTTCTTTCTTTTCCTTCAACTTCCGGGCTTTGGGTTTTTTTGGAATTGAACCCTTTTGGTGGTGGCTGTGGTGATGTGATAATGTGAGGTTCTGTGTTGGGGATAGGATCGTGTGCTCGAGCGTTTGGATGGATGGATGGGTGGATGGGTGGATGGAAGGATGGGGTGGATGATGGATGAGATTGGCGAATACGATCCGCTTCAAGGTATGTTACCGGTGTAGTCTGCACTTTTGATGTTTGAAGAGAGATGCGGGTTATTGTGTGGGTGCATATGGTATGTTTACCGTAGCTCTGTATTGGTTGGTAAGCGCATTGGGTTATCATACTTTCCTGTGACTGGCGATGTTGACTTCTTGATGTAGGTCCCACCTCCGAGAGAGGTGAGGGAGGGGAGCGATAGACAAGTCATGCTTTGTTTGTTTTTTTTCCCCCTCCCTCGTGATAGTTTCCTCATACGTCTTGCTGGAAGGATATCATAATTTGCGATAATGGTGGACAAAACTTTTCATGTGCTGTGTGGTGTAGAAACTCCGCCATCATAACGTGTCTTTAGCCAAAAAGCCATGATGTATTTCACGGGGCGGTGGTGGGTGCGAACCTGTTTCGCTTTCTCGTATGATGGTCGCCTACCGGTGAAGAGCGCTCTCTCTCTCTCTCTCTCTCTTTGTTTTTGTGAGGGGTGGTGGTGGTACATCATGTGCACACTACTCGAGTATCATACCGGTGTGTGGTAGGATAAAGTCGACGACGATGGTGGTGACTGTCGTCTCTCCCCTTCCCCCACAACCCGGGGCCTTGGCGTTAGCAAGCTTTTGAATCACGCCTGGGCTGGATGTTTATTCCTAAATCAAATGCTTACGGGTGCTTTTCGAAAAGAAAGGAAGAAAGAAAGAAAGAATCCCTTGAGCCCCCCAGCTTATCTTTCTGAAATAGGGCTTACAACTGGATACACTATTTCGAGGTGAGAAGGGTAGATCAATTGTCAATTGTGAATTGTGAATTGTGAAGATGTGGCCTAGACTCAGGACCTCCCACCCCCCCCTCCCCGCCCGCCAACCAATTATACCACACTACCGGTACCATGGGGGTAGATGGGAGGGCTTCTATCGTCAGGACGAGGTCTCACAAACTCACTTAATGTTGCTTTTTTTTTTCCAGAGCGCTTTTGTTCGGTAACTTGTACGAGTACTTGTTTTTTCTTCCTTTTCTTCCTTTTCTTCCTTTTTTTTTTTTTGATATACGGTACCATAGTCTTCATTCCTTCTTCCCGTTTAAGAGAGAAAGTGGTAGTGGTGGGAAATTGGGGGATTTACGGGAAAGTTACTCGAGAATAGTGTCAGGTCTTTTAGGGGACATGCTCTCTGCTCAATTCACCGCCCCGCTTTCATTTCCCGCACTGGTGACCAGAACTCCATCACGGCAAGTACAAAGTACGATATGGACATGCAATTCACTCGTGAACACCCCCTACGAGTACCGGTATGTATACGATGGATGTACCGGCATTGTTCTGTACGGGCCATGGGTACGGTAGACGTGCGAACAGTACCGGTACTTGAGTTTCAGAGACAGAGCGATACATTCACGGTCGGACAGGTTTGAAGAGAGCTCCCGTTAGCTATATTTAGATAGGAATGCATAATAAGTACGAGAGGGGTTTTTTGGAGGTTTGGTGAGACTACTCACTCTCATCATCGTGTTACGCTCCGCACTGTGCACCGCACGGTTGCATTGTCCTACATATCCCTCTCATGCATTCGACCAACATTGTTAGCAGCGGCTTTGGCGATTGAGGTTGAAACAAGTTTTAAATGCGAAGAACGTTTCTTGAGCAACATGACTTACCCTCCCTCCATCCCGCCCCCTTTTCCCCCGCTCAAGCTTGTCTTGGCGGTGGCAACCGGAATTTCCATTTTCCGGAAGACGTGCCCATGCCAGGGTGGGGAAGGAGGGATGGGAGAGAAAGGTGGTGCACCAACACCACCATCACCACCACCGCCGGCTGCTAACGATACCACAACCCCCCCCCCCCAACATGTTCTCGTCAATGGACCACCGTGTACTCGTATGTGCTCGAGTATGTACGCACACCATCGAGATCTCTATCTATGACATGGATAAAAACGGTCTTCCGTGAGACGTTGCGGAAAAAATGGAGACGAAAAATAAAATAAAACACCGCATTATGCTCGTGTGCTTGTTGACCTCGCTTGACGATGGGTGTTGGAAATGGGGAGATTTCAAACAACCCCCCACGCTCCTAGCCTTCCGCCGTCATCTCACGGGTTCTCACTCGCGTCTGAAATTTATCCACCCATCCACCCATTCACCCGTCCATGGGGGTGAGAGGGTTCGGTTCGAACGGGCTCCATAGCTCCCCGAATTAAAAAGGGGGAGGGTGTGCATATTTTGTCCCTTCGTATGCGGAATTGAACATCTGTTCGTCGCACCCGTGTCTCTTCTTTGTTTTGTTTTTATTCTTGTTTTCTTTTCTTTCCTGTTGCTTTGCTCTGATTTGCGTTACTGCTGTCGTGTATGTTGCTATGCGGGCGTGGGGTTTATGTGCTACGTGCTTTTGCACGTAAAATTCCACATCAATTGTTTACTGCTTACTCCCCACGACCGGAAAGAGTGTTAGTGCCTTGGGAGATCGGCCGATGGAGGGCTGGGGACCAGGTTCAATCAATCAATCAATCAATCAAAGACGGAATCGTTCAGGCGGTTCATGGCATATTTTTTGCAATTGCCTTGCTCTCTCTTTGACATCGTGGGGGTCCTCTTGCATAGTCACAAGACAACACTGTGTGGTTTTTATTACCCCTACTGCCGTCCAGAGTGGTTCCCATCGGTTCGCAGTGGGATATCACCTCTACTTATTGTTCCCTCTCGCTTTTCTCCGGATAGTGGCGGGGGTAGGGGGGGGGGTTTGGGCGGGTGCGTTGAAAAAGGCCCGGTATATATCATTGGCCTTCGTGATGGGCAGCTTTTTGGGAGGTGTGAATAGGGTAAGGTTATGTGCGCACTCTCCAACGAATTGCTTGCTA